TTTACGCTCCTTTTATATATATACGCTGCAACCGCGCTCACGTATGTCTAACCCTCGAAGTGACGTCGAATTCCTCGCTTTGCCATATTTCACTCGCGATATGCAAGCCTACCTATGTAAACAAAGATCAGTCTCGAGAATAATTGAGTCTCAAACACACTACACCGTTTTAACCTACATTCCAATAACCTTCTCGACACCAAAACTTCCAATGAAATTCATAACTGAAATTCTAATTCTTCTTCGAACTACGTTCTATGTACATGCTCACTCACTTGATGGCAGAGTGCTCTCAGTCACTCGATGGTGAAGTGAGCCCAAAATCCATGCAGTGAAGTGAGCGCACTAACCTTGCAGTGAAGTGAGTGCACTAACCATGCAGTGAAGTGAGCGCACTAACCATGCAGTGAAGTGAGCGCACTAACCATGCAGTGAAGTGAGCGCACTAACCATGCAGTGAAGTGAGCGCACTAACCATGCAGTGCAGTGAGCACACTAACCATGCAGTGCAGTGAGCGCACTAACCATGCAGTGCAGTGAGCGCACTAACCATGCAGTGTAGTGAGCGCACTAACCATGCAGTGCAGTGAGCGCACTAACCATGCAGTGCAGTGAGCGCACTAACCATGCAGTATCTATATACGATGTCGTAATTCACATCTTATAAAAAATTATTTGTTAGTCTAAGCTCTCTTCCAGAATAATCCAGGCATTCTTCGGGAATCCAGACTTTCTTCATAAATTTGCCCTTAATAATTTAATCCAGACTTCTGATTGAGCTTGGACTCTTTGCAGAATTAAAGCTATTTTCGGGAATCCGGACTTACTAAAGGAATGCATGCAGTCTCCCATGAATCCAGACTTCGGCAGCAAAATTCAAATTTTTGTCATCAAGCTGCCCATTCTTCGGGAATTCAGACTTAATCCACCAAAGCTGACTTTTCTTAATAAAAGAATCCAGATTTCTATCATAATCTTTCGTTATCATATTTACTACAAAATTTAGAAATTTATCTTTCTTCAAGAATTCGTAATTTCTGCCGGAATCCAGAGTGACATGAATCTCACGCCTGCCGTACCCACAGTTCTTACTAACCGCATTTTTTCACCATACCTACTCACCGTATTCTCATGTTCTTCTTCCAAACCGTATTACCAAACATTTTGCTGCAGGATATACTACGTGTCACGCGGCTGATGACGTACGTGTGATTCACTCAAATGTACTTTAATAAGATGAATAATTAATTACGAAAAGAACCACGAATATTAAAATCAAATAATAATCTGGGTGCCATTTTTTTGAAAAAATTGCAGTGTTGATGCCGAAACGCGCTCCCTTGCTAACAGCGTGCTAGAGGAGGCATACAAACTTCATGCATATTTTATGCGCATTTTAAGCCTGGCGACCGCGTAGTCATATTCCAGTGGCGCCTTACACTCACCGACGCCTGCAAATCAAAGCTTAGCGCCTCATGCGCGCGTGCGGGTCAGGGCGCCGACCATTTCGACTGCGACGTTCACCAAAAAAGTCTGCGAAGAGGTCAAAGTTGCGGCAAAGAGATCGTAAAAGATCGTTAAGGACAGTCTTAAGGGACGTGCGCAGCACCGACTTAAGCGCTGCTCGGCTACGATGAGCCGCAGGCGCTCGTGAGCGCTTCGAGCAAAATGCGGCTGCTGGTCGTGCATGCGATGCGGTGATGATGGCGCATGGTGATGTTGTATGCGTTAACCTTATGACATTATGATGAGTTTCGGACTTATATGACGACGACAAGTCCACGGTCACGCTGATGCACCGCCTTCGTCGTCTTTCGTCTTCAAGTCGTCGGGTCCCGGATGTAACGTTGGACGTGTTCCATCTATTTGCCCTTCTTTGGACCAGCTGATGCAAGATGCTGTTTCTTGTCACTTGCTGAGAGTAGTTTCCCCATAACTGGACAATCCGGGATCTTCTTCTGAAACTTATCCAGTTGTCTCTTGAAAGTCGCAAGGGTAAACTCCCCTCCTCTCAGCACCTTTGGTAAGGCGTTAAACAGCCTTGGTCCTACCACGGACAGTGATCCCTCCGGAAAGTCTGTACTCTGGCCGCGGCTAGGTATTGAATGGGGAATCCTGCACAATCTTCCCCTCCTTTCGTCGTAATACGTTAAAATTTTTGAGGTCTCACATTCAAAGTTGAGAACTAGTCCGGTTATCATCTTCCAAGTGTACAGTATGATATACTGTACCTCTCTCGTCTCCTCTCCAGTAAGTAAAGTCCCAAGTGTTTCAGCCTTTCCCAGTAGTTAAGGTCCAGCTCCCTCATGCCGCTGATCCTGTACGTAAAGGTCCGCTGCACTGCCTCCAGCTTCCGATGATGCAGCATCGACATGGCTGAAATAGGAACAGCAATTCGTATGCAGCACTAACACGACTGATGCAGCACCAACATGTTTGATGCGGCACCAACACGTCTGATGCTGTACCAACATGTCTGATACGGCACCAACTCGTCTGATGCAGCACCAACACGTCTGCTGCAGCACCAAGACGACTGCAGTCGTGTTCGACGAGCTCAAGATTTCAATATCCTGGCGGTGGCGCGTATCGCGCTCGCCGCACCGCTCGGCTTGCGTTCCTTGTTCGCCGCGCCGTGGGCGACGCTCCTCATTTCCTGCGCGTACGCCGCGAGGGGCGTATGGGGCGTGTAGTGTGTGTACGTGCAGTGTGTGTACGTGTAGTGTGTTTGTACGTGTAGTGTGTTTACGTGTAGTGTGTTTGTACGTGTAGTGTGTTTACGTGTAGTGTGCTTATACGTGTAGTGTGTGTGCGTGTAGTGTGTGTACGTTTAACTTGTCTAATCAGTGTGGTTTGTGCAGTGCGTGTATGAACACCTTACCATCCATAACATACACAACACCGGATAGCATGGCTTTAGAAAAAATGACACATAGAGCACTCCACGAAACTCTCGCCATGAGTACAGCACAAAGAAACACCACCGACATATTGCTCCGCGATGTGGCCAAAGCCTTCGACAAGGTTTGGCACACCTGAATACTAAAGACTAAATCATCCAACTCAACCTCCACCCATCCTTCACCAAAACACTTGCAGACTACCTCACTGACAAAACAGCATCCGTAAGAATAGGCAACCACATATAGGTCCCCCACTCCAACTCCACACTAGTGTCCCCCAAGAGGCTCATCTCTCCACTAAATTATACAGCTTCTACATCACCTCCCACCACCTCTATATACCCAACACAGATTACACAGCATTTGCAGACGCTATAACACAAATAACAACAACACACTACAAACACAACTATGCTGCACAACAAACGCAACACGCCATCCAACAGATAAACGCATTCGAAAACAAATGGCTAATTACGACCAACACTACCAAGTTCAAAATCATCTTTATCACTAGACAATAAGCCTCTGACATTTTTATAGACGACACTCACTACCCATTCACAAACAACGGAACGGTCTTATGATTAAAATTTAAAACACATGGTTTTATGTCCCAAGTAACAGTTAGGAAAGCAATAGCCTTTGCAAATTCAAGTAAAATATACAGATTCTATATACCACCTCCCTTCAAACATAAAACGCACTCTATACCACACCTATGTTAGGTCAGCTCTAATTTATCCCCCACCCTACACACCCTATCCAAAACAGAAATATCCCAACTGCAGAAATTCCACAATAAAGCACTGAAACTCATCACGAACACACATTGGTCCGACTCCATTTCCTCTCATACATTACAGTTATTATGCAACATTCCCACAATAAACACAGTTCTTCACCAACAAGCACGTAAAATCTAGTTCACCATCAAAACATATGATCCCTAACCCTATAATCAACTCGCATTCGCCCAAGACGCCATAGCAAGGCAGCACCGGTCATTCCCCATACACGATTTTGCTCTTTTCATTTTTACAGGTTTTTGACCTGAGGAAGTAAACATCGAGGCTCACGTACATCCAGTTGTTTGGGCTAAAATATTTCTTGCTCCAAACATGATAGTAGTGTTACCATGCCACTTCTCTGATGACTATCACGAACACTACCTTCACCTCTATTGCCCCTAACACTAACTCGGCTACTAGCTCAACTGCCACCACTACAACAAAAGTACTGCGAGAAGTGTTGATAGAACTATCTGCAAAAATGGGCGATTCCACTTGAGCGGCTTCACCCTTTGCTTTGTCACGCGGCAATCCAGCTTAATCTGTTCAACCCCAGAGTGGCAGTTCATTCGATGCCGGAGTGGTAGTTCATGCGATGCCGGAGTGGCATTTCATTCGGTGCTGGAGTGGCAGTTCGTGCGATGCCGGAGTGGCATTTCATTCGGTGCTGGAGTGGCAGTTCGTGCGATGCCGGAGTGGCAATGCAGCGTCAGAGTAGCAGTTTGTGCAGCACCAGAGTAGCAGTTTGTGCAGCGCCAGAGTAGCAGCCCCTGCAGCGTCAGAGTAGCAGATTGTGGAGCGTCAGAGTAGCAGCCTCAGCAGCGGCAGAGTATCCCTGAAAACCTGTGATATCTTTAGTTGATGTAATTCAATTCAGATGTAATTCAAAAAACTTCATCCAAACAATGAGTACTTTAGATTTTGGGAACGTTTAGCATTTTTTCTGGAAGCGACCATGCAGCCGACCGCAGCGGTACAAGGGTGGGTGTATGGGCTGCTATTCAAGGTCTTGAAATTTTTTCCTTAGTTTTGTTCTTGGTGCGAAGTCTGGTGGAGCTTGAGGCCAACTTGACCTTCTTGCAAACAACGAGAAAAAATAACTGCCTCAAATGTTTCGTGCATTTTAAGGAAGCGGAAAATAGGCTGGCTTAGCATGCGGAGCACTTAACGCGCTGAAACGCTTCATAACTGCAAATGACCTGAGGTCAGGTAGAGCTGAGTGACGTCATCGGCAGCGCTAGGGGCGGAGCTTCTAGTGTCACAGCAGGTCAGGAGGAGGACCAAGCATCAGTGAGCCCAAGTCATGGTGAGGAGAGCAGTGTGAAGCTCCCTGGGCTGAACCCTATAACAGTAACGTGATCTCATAGGTCCTTCAACTTTCCACGTGATTCAACATAAGACCATTACGTGACGGGAATAATAGTAAAGGGAATGCCGCAATTTTCATAAATTACAGCGTTTGGGAATGTACTCTAACCGTCAGGGTGTAATTGAGAGCGTAATATTGCCTCGTAGATCTTAAATGACCTCAGCCTCGGCACAATTTCTGACGCTTGCACACTTCCAGCGCGAAGTCCGCGCCGCATTAGGGTAATTAGGTTCCCTTTTTATGAATAAAAGTGTTCAAAAATACAGAATACATTAGCGAATTATTGCCTGATATACTTTATACTTTGTGAACAAATTGAAAACTACCACGGTGCTTGTTAACCTATGCAGTGACAGACACGCAATTTTGGAAAACCGAATATTTTTGCGCTGTTATTTTTCTTCAGTGTTCGTTTTTTCAATTGTATGAGGAGACGAAAATACATGCCTTACGTCCAAACGGAGTTTCAGTGTGAAGAATCCAGGGTTACTAGTGTGTAGCGTGTAGCGTGAAGCTATCGAAGCTATCCGTGCTGCACGAAGCAGTCGAAAACATTCGTGCTGCGTGAAGCAGTCGATGCCATCCGTGCTGCGTGAAGCAGTCGAAAACATCGGTGCTTCGTGAAGCAGTAAAAGACATTAATGAGGCACGACGTTAGCAAAGGTGCGCGTGTAGCGTGAAGCGATGACCGCAGCTGCAGCCTGAGGAGGAGTGTCGTCGCCGCTCAGCAGCATGCAGGTTCGTTGCTATTACGGCACACTGTAATTAAAATTTCCACGCTTCAAAGGAACTAATACATTCCATGACACCCAAGGTTCCTAAATTGATAATTATTATCATCATTATTCATCAAAATTGTCGGAAAGAGAATGCCTTATGTAAATTCAAACTCGCTTTTGAAACAAATTTCAAAATGAAACGTGGTTTGTTTTTGCGTTGAACGAATGTGGCCGCCAAACCACCTGGTAATTGACAGCACCGCGGCAAATGTTTCAGTGCAGCAACCCTCCTTCTATATAGGTATTTAAAATTATGTAACTGAGTTTATCTTCACTCGCGTCACTTACTTTAGTGCTTGATCTTTTGTTTAGAGTTGTCAACCCGCCTTCCCCTCGCTGAACAGGAGCAGGTGAGCAACAGAATACCGAGATCCTTTTAAAGAACACCATTACCTTTTGAGAAGGATGGTGGTCACCAGAATAGTGAAGACAAGGATTGTGATCACCAGAATAGTGAAGACAAGGATGGCGGTCACCAGAATAGTGAAGACAAGGATAATAGACGCCAGAATAAAGCAGTATGAAGTAAGGGGGCGGGGGAGGCCGTCAGTTACGCGATGACAGCGAATTTCTGCGCCGCAGCTGCGCGACGCCGGCGACTTAATGAGCTGGCGACACTGGGAGTGTTGAAGGGGGCGATGAGTATTGAGGGGGTAGAGAGTATTGAGGGGAAGTGTTGAGGAGGTGGGAGTATTGAGAGGGAAGTGTTTTGGGGTTGAGAGTATTGAGAGGGAAGTGTTGAGGGGGAAGTGCGGGAGTGTTGAGAAAAGTGGGAACGTTGAGAGAGTGGGACCTTTGGGGAGCAGGAACGCTATAAGAGGGGCGAGAATGTTGAGAGGCTGGGAACGTTGAGTGAGTGGTGAAGGCTCAGTCTTGTTGGTATACGATAGTTACACACACACACAGGGCCAAGCCTCAGCTCTGTTCACGGTTCACAAGGTAAAGGGTTCAAATGGCAGCGGCCCATTGAACCTTCACTTCTAGGATCGGCGAGATGAGGGAGCTTAACTACTGGCAGAGGCTGAAATATCAGAGTTTATAGGTAACGTAGACGGTAGAGGATAGCGAGAGAAGGAGGGAGGATGAGTTGGATAATAAACATAGCGTAATTGAGTTGCTATAGTTGTTGAGTCGAATAGAGTTGCTATAGCAAAATAGAGTTGCTATAGCAAAATACAGTTGCCATAGCAAAATGGACTTGCTAAAGCAAAATTGAGTTGCTATAGCAAAATAGAGTTGCGAATTAGAGAGAGTAAGACGGGAATGTTGAGTTGTTGGGGTCACCGATACACACCAATTAACGATCGGCTAGTCAAATCGTACGGCCAACAATTAATCGTAAGGATACAAAGAATATTACTGAAAACTGTATTAATGAACAAGCTTCAAAAACAAACAATGAGAAGCACATAAAAAGTGTGCATGTTCCCTATGATCTTGTCTAAGTCGCACATACGATCATAATAAACTAAAATAATTCTATCTCCTGATCCGCGTGCCGGAATTTATTTAACTGTTCATATAAAACTGAAATTTTCTGCACTTGGACCACAAGAAGTCGTAGCAAGAACGCTTCACTCCTTGCGACATCAATCGCTTCGAATGCAGGTTCGTTTTTTGAGGACTGAAGCGTGGCATTACAGGCCGGAGTTAAGAAAAATATTGCCGTTCAGAAAAACAATTTATGATGAAGTAGAGGCCGTCATCACGAAGTAATGTGAGGTGCTGAGGCCAGATTTTAATTTGTGCGTGGCAGGACGAGTGGCGCTGAGGTACAATAATGCGGCACCGCGGGACCGCTTCCCCCCATTCCCGGCCTCGGCTCCGCAATTCCAGAATAAGAAAGCCAGGAATTCCCGGGGGCGGCCGAGCGCTGCTATTGAAATGCCGACGCTGATTGCCGCGTGCTGGGTAATGCATGCCAACGATGCTGTGGCATGGCGGTGCTGTGGCATGACGGTGCTGTGGCATGACGGTGCTGTGGCATGACGGTGCTGTGGCATGACGGTGCTGTGGCATGACGGTGCTGTGGCATGACAAAACATTAAATAAGCAGGTAGCATGTTTCTACGAGGTCACGTATAAGAGGTGACTCAAAACCTGGAATCAGAATACCAGTAACCTAAAAATTAATAAACAAAATGTACAGCACGGCGTTCCCTAACAGAGTGAGGAGGAAATGTGAAGTGAGGCGGTAGTGTTGAACCAGGAAGGAATGTTGAGAAACTGAATGTTGTTCCTTTGATCAAAAACACAATTCTCTCACAAGTGAAATTTCTGACCGCGAATATCGCATAGTAAATTCGACACCATTGCCGACAACGGAGAGTAAGAAAATGGAAATTGAAGAATAATAACAGAACGGGCGAACATATGTCCGTTCGTCCAACGAAACATATCCGACGTACAGGACATGAACGTGGCAATGTGGTCAAATGGTAAAAATAAAGAGCATCAGAATTTCAGCAGTGTTTTGTAGCTTCGATATCACCAGCCAACTGTCAAAATCGGCGTGGTTATAGCGGACGATTGAGCAATGTGAAAGTAGTGATTTGCGTTTTCGAGACTCGCAACAAACCTTGAAAATTGTGAGATATTCAGAATCGGAGACAGGTCTGATATTCTAATCTGCAGCGCTGATACCGCTATTATAATTATGCCACAGTTCGAAACTGCTACCACTTGAAAAAATTTCACTTTACACGTTTTTCTATGCATTAAGAGATTCTGAAATTCTCGGGATATCAGCCCAGCGCATAGAGCATGCATTTTCAAACCGGCACTTGTCACTGACCACGGCAAAGGCAAGTTCATCCATGCACTCGGTCTTTCATTAAAGCGCGTCTTTGATTCACGCTAGAGTTCCCTTAAATATTTTTTAGCAGCTTCACTTTATAATTTTTGTTATTTTCCTCGTCAAAGGTGAAGAGAGTGTACTCTTTATGATGTCAGACGATTTGGTTATTTCCACGCAACCTTCTCATGTTGGCTATTACCTCGAGTGTGAAATAACTTGAAATCCAAGTCTACAAACTACACCGGCAAATTGGAAGCCACCGAGTTGGCTGGCAAGTAAATTATTTTTTGTAGTTTAATTTTAGTAATTCCAATTTCGACCTCAGACTGTACTTTTTGAGATCGAAACTAATAGAGGTTGAATCTGTAGCTTGCAGAGTATTGTAGATTTCGCTTCAAATGACAAGCAATTCAAATACTTATGCACCCCGGCATTAGAATCTGCTCTACCTTTATTGCTATCGCACATGATTTGTTTACATAAGTTGTTCATCGTTAATTTTTTCAACTAGCTTTTTTCGTGAATGAGTTTTCTTCCGTTTTCTGAAATTTCTGCTTATTGCACGAGAAAATTTATTATAATTCAGGTTATAATTCAGGTTTATACTTTCGCAATGCGTCCGTATTTGATTGTGTATAACCTCCGCCCATTGGCCATATGCTCGCCAGTTCAAAATTTTAATCTTTATGGCTTTGAATTCCGGAGCATGAATAATTTATACCAGTAAGTGTTTGTACTGATGATGGACCTGGTCTGTAAAACGTGTTCTTTACGTAAGGGGATTGTTCTGTTGCGCTCTCTTTCTTATCGCATTTTTGAACAATTATCATTTCAATATACATGCCGGGAGTGTGTGGGTGAGCCACAAAGCTCACTCCGACAACACAAGCGCCCGCTCCACCGTCAATATTCAGAGGCAGCGCGTGGCCAGCGCCTACACGAATTTCTTGGCTTTTATTCGGCGCTGGCGGCGCCAATAATTTTACTTAAGTGGCAATTATCTCCTAAATCGCACAGCGGGGGCCACCGTGCGGCCAATCTTGGGGAATCTGGGGCTCGAGCAGGCCTGGATGAGCGCCTCAGGATTGGGGGGATTACTAGAGCCTGGGTGCGATCGCGCTTTAATTTCAAATGCACGTTCAAAAATTTCTTCTAAAACTTGAATTAGAAACAAAAACTCAGCAAATAAGGTCTGTGACATCGTCTATTGATACCGCCAGTAACTCATCAAAAGCAAGACAGTGCATCTTATCAGAAAGTCACGAAGTTTTGACGCTTGGTCTACGCCCCCGACGCTAATCACTTATCGTGCAAACTTCAGAGTCATGCGCCACAAAAATGAAGAGCTAAATTGTCGACGTTTTTTGTGGGACGGAGGGATAAACTGAGGACGCGGCGGTGAAGATCAAGTGGGGGATGAGGATGGAGATGAAGGTGGGGAGGAGGTTAGGAGGGGAGGAGGATGGGGATAAGTATGGAGAAGAGGTTGAGAAGGATGATGAGGAAAATGGGAGGAGTTCAATGTGTAATAAAGCAGTTCCAGAAAAACTGGTAATGAATTATTTAGCACTACTGCAACGTTACTAAAGCAACTGAGTATCTCATTCCTCAAACTATTCATGATATTCTGAATATTTCATCGAGACTCGCGCAGCACATCTCACAAATGCTTGTCAAGGCCAGACCAAGATATGATTTAAAGGTTCTCCCAAGGTCAAGGTAAAGATTGCAGAATTATACAGCCTCTCTATTGGGGACTTAAAAGGACGTAGTCTTTAGGCGCAGTTTCAATTAAATTCAAAGATACAGTTTTTCCTCGCACTTATGTTCATCTTGAACTAAACGGTGCAGCTTTAAGGTGCAGTTATGTTTAATTTAAAGTTAAAATATAACTCATTATGTTAAAATATTAGTTGAAGATGCGCGGTATTTAATCTCCCGGCGCTCACGAGGGGCGCCTGGCACGACCCTCAGGCGGGCCATCAAGGCCCGCCCGTGGCCCCGCGCCCTCAATGAAATATGGCGGGCAGTTGTGGCCCCACGCGCTGAAGGAACGTAAATGGGACAAAAGTAAAACCTTCTAAGTCCCAGACGTACGATGAATCCAGTATACTTGTTGAAGCCTACTATGGAAATAGATTAAAATTCTAGAAAAATTTCGG